TTTACAGTATTCTTATTTTTTAAACGTCTTACAAAAGACCAAAAAGAACTACTTGGCTCATTAAAGCTTTCTATCTTTTCGTCCCAGAGATCCTTACGGTAAATACTGATCTGTGTTTTGATCTCTCTACTGAGCCTATTCATTTCTTTCTTTGTGTTTGGGTCATAGGTAAGGTGAAACCTCTTTATGATCCTGTTCCTGTCTCTGATAGGATTTTTAATTCTAGTTGGTAGTTTATTTGTGATGTGCTTTCTAGGAATCTTTCTGGTGGCCGCATCATAGGCGTTTTGTATGTCTGTCGTCAGCTGCCTCGCAGCACGCTCTATGTCATCAGGAGTGCGTAACATAAGGTTTGTGCGACTTTCTGAGAGTATTTCATTAAATTCCCTCCAGTTCGTCGTATTGATAAGCGCTTCCATGACTTCCTTAGTCGTACCAAGAGTCGCAATGACTGGGCAGTGATCCGAGTCCAGATCCTGTATAACCTCTAGGGCGAAAGACAGTGAGATGGTGGAAAGGAAGATGTCAAGTATATCACCCGAATTTCCGTTATTGGACAAATAAGTGTGCTCACTCGGCACATGTAAATAAACCGGGTAATTATTTATGAATTCTGACAATTTAATACCGTTGTTATTAGTCCTCCTACAATTCCATTCTTGATTCTTAGCATTTAAGTCACCCGCAAGAATGAATTGCTTGTTGATATTCAATATCTTTGATAAGTAATCGACATCGAGAATATTCTTCGGAGGATTGTACATAGCGTTAAAATACACATTCCCGTAGTGCGGCAGACGGACAGATACAGTGACTAGCTCGTGTCCATTAAATCGCTCGTCGTTAATAAGGCATGATTGTAGGGAGCTGCGGACAAAAATTGCGACCCCCCCACCTCGGTGACTTAGTCGATCGCATCTATAGCAAACATAGTTCGGAATTTTCATCTGGGTACTCGGCGTAGCAAAAGTCTCCGTAATCATTGCCACGTCAATATCTTGACCCCTGAAAAAGTTAGAAAGTTCCGTAATTTTATAAGCAATGCCTCTAGCATTCCATGTCATGATCTTAATAGGAGCAAGCGTAGGTCTAATTTGACCCATTAACAATTGTAGAGGAAGTTTTTATTTCTCCTGATTATTTTCTTGAATTCCTCTGACCTGCTGTGAAATTTGAAAACCAGCAGTTTTTATAACGGAAACGAGTTCCGCCAGGTCAGTGAAGACTTACTTCGCTTCACTTAAAATGTCTGAGTAAAGTCCAGAGGACAGCGCCTGCGAATAAGTTTTGTTTTCAATAACCTTACTGGGGAAATTGATTGTTTTATCTGTTTTCTTTTCGGGAATTTCTCACACCCCCTGTCACTTCTAGGTGTTTTGCTTCAATTTATGCTTTCTAAACTGCCACTGGTAATAATAATCTTTTGAATGTATTGTCTGAATGCTTGGATTCCTTTGTAGACCCACCTTACACAAAGCATTACTTTTTTGGAATGCAGCCTCCCTGTCTATGTTACTAAAGGAGATTCCTTTTAGCTTATTCCATGACCTTTATAGCAAGGGTGTTCAAACTTGTCAGTAGAAGGTGCATGCTAAAATCCAAGAATTTGAAGATGTTACAAAATAATAAAATAGGTTAAGAATAGAAAGAAATGTTTGAAGTATAAATTAATGAAAATATCATGTTTTTATGCAATTAATGGCTTTATTTATAAGTATCAATGCAAGGTTCTTATTTCCCCTGTTTTACAATCAAGCAAATATGCTCCTATAATACACAAACTTAAAATTATAATACAATGTAAATGAACGTTCTTTTTTGACGCAGAAAAAAGAAGCATTTTCTTCTGATTTCCTCTCCCCTACTTTGTAATAATTGTTGAATGCATTAAGTGGTATATTGGTGTACTTAATTATAGCAAAGCACACTAGGGCTATCTGCTTAAGGGGGAATGCCTTCGTGGAGGACTTTCTAAGGAGGACTTTTTTCTTTTAACTGGCTCGTATACACGTTACACATTGGGAAAACCATGAAAACGTCCATGCAGCCAGCTCGTTCGCGGGATTCGAACCTCGGACCGAACTACCAGTGTTCAGCGACTTTACCGCTCGGCCGCTGGTGGGCTGAATGCATTAAGTAGATGCAAGCAGAAACTGAAAGAATATGTAACAACCTTTACATGTACAATAACATAAAAATTTGTTTAATTGAATGATGAATAAAAAAACTAATTTGAAAACCAGTTCCAATGTTTTTTTTTTGGGGGGGGGAAGAAGAACTCTGGAAAGAATTAAAAAATATGACAGGACAGCGTGTGCTACTGTGAAAGTGCTATTTGGGAAAGTAAAAATTACTTCTAAATAAGCTCTCAACCTTTCAGATTTTTTCAAAAAAAATTAACTTTTTTCTTACATAATTAACATGATAACCATATGATCTATGTAATTAATATAATGACCCATAATATCCAGTTGAATGTCAGATTATGAACACCTCATTTCACAAACAAGTTAACTGAAGAAAAATGGCTCAGATCACAAACTGTGTCTCATGTTCGAACATTCAAGTTGGCAACCTATGATTTTCGGACATGTTCTGAGGCATATGCCAAATAAATAACAATCAAGAACTTCCGGAAACATCATTATAATATTTTTCATTTACAAAGCAACAAGTGACCTACAGAATTATGAATTCAGCCTAGAGGAAATTATAGCCAGACGGCATTACCAGCAAAGACTTTTAGCAGTTTTTTTGTTACATATGAGACTGCGCCTCTAGCCAAAACTATGTGCTAAGAAGTTAATAATGAACATGTGGAATGATTAATGGATTAAATTCATGAAATGAAGTTTCACTGCATATCGAGATCGAAATTAACATTAAATAAGTGAATTAATTCCTTAGCTATGAATTGGATTATTAGCCTTTTGTTTTGTATAATAAGTATAGTAAAATAGTAAGTATCCTCAGCTCCCCCAAATCTAAAAAATGATTTGAAATTCTACAACTAAAAACAGCCTTTTTTCATCATTTGAATCTTAAGAAATTATTATAAGCCTTAAATTAAAACTTTGAAACCCAATTTAGAAAGAACAAACATCCAATTTTTCATCAAATTGTTAGCTTTTTTGTGGCTGTACACAGTGTAGAAAGAAGAGTTTCCAATTCTGCAAGATCATTGCACAGACTTACTGTTCGGGAAACATTAGGGTTATCTACATCTTCTAAAAACGTTTTTAATTCTAACAGCCTCTTTATCATCTATTATGTACTTCCCCATCATGTTGCTCAATCAATAATTGCTCCTTTTCTTGCTCGCGTTCTAAAAATGGCATCACTTTTGGGAATCTTAGCTTGCTATTACTGCTTGCTTAAATTTAACAATGAGATTTGTAGCATTTGATGCATTTTGCAGCCATGGGCTCCTTTTTCTTGTTGTGAATTATACTACAATAATGCCATCTATGAGCTGAAGAAGTCACTAAATGAATAAGTTCACCGAATAATGGCAAATATCACATCCATCATACTCCCTTATATTTATTTATTAATATGTCAATCAAATGGAAAATAACTAACTACTAATGCATATAGTCCATAAAAATAAAAATATTAACTCAGTTTGTCATTACTTTGTTTTCCAATTCATTTTTATTTCATTTCAAATCAAATCTGTCCAACAAAAAAAACTGGAGTCGATGTGTTTTTAGCAACTCCAGTTTTGACTCCTTTTACGCCCAAATCTGTCTAACTCTGATTCCAACTCCATGACTCTCTCACCACAGCCATGCATTAAACAAGAACTTGTGACATCCATGCCAAGGAGAGGGTTTTTTTTTTTTTTTTTTTTTTTTTTTTTTTTTTAAGTTGTTTTGTTGTTGTTGATCATTCCACAGTCTTTCTTTTGGTGAAATACTTCTGAAATCATTAATTTTTTTCAATTAACTTTAATTTCATTTTAAATTCAAACTGTTCCACAAGAACTGGAGTCTGAGTCGACGTGTTTTTTAGCGACTCCAACTCCGACGCCTTTTACCCCCAAAATCTACCAGACTTCAATTCCGATTCCACAGCCCTGCTCAAAACCACCAACAACGTTTTTCTCATAGGCTTTATGCCATGGACGTAGGAAGTAAGATGGAGTGGCCCTAACTGGTTTCCCCCATACACTGCTTTGAAGCACTGGTGATCCCTTTGAGGTGACCAAAACATTGGGTCATTTACCAGCAAGTTCAATGGGTTTTCACATGGTTGGATGTAAATATTTAGTAATTGCATCGTAAATACACATATAAATGCATATATTTTCATTTTCTACAATATTTCAGTCCTAAGTATATGAAAAGAATACATTTTTAAACAACATTTCATTCTGAATGGAATTAAATGCTACACTTTTCATAGAACAGTTTGCTTAGAATGGTTTAATTTGAATGGAATATTTTCACAAGTTTTCCTTAATTACATTAGGAAAAAATTTTAAGGTAATTCAATTTTATTCTGTTAAGTATTACAAAAATTAAGATCAAAGTTTATTGTATTAATATTAAAATTATGCACAATTTCTTTTCTATTTAGAGCTTCATCCTAAAATACTTTCTCAAATATGGCATGATTTTTAGCTTCTGAGGCATCTTTTAAATCGAATAGTCCATTTCAAATTAGAGCACCTTTTATTTTAATAGTGAAATACGTTAAATAGTACTTATTATAGTACTTATCTGAATGATTTTTTAAAACTTGTAACTGAGTTATTATAAAATGCAAGGGGAATAATTCTTTTAATTATACTTATCAGATTATTTTATCCTTAATTTCAACAATACATATTATAAAACTCTACTTTATTACATTCTTAAGTACACATCTCATAGAATTTGCTTTACAATAACTTTTAACAGATTGCTAACAACTTAACAATTGTTAAACTTAACAATTTAAGCAAAAACAAGGAATATTAGTTCAAATGCAAAACAATTTCAAACACTTAGGCTTACCTTGCAACAGCTTATCAGGCATCTAAAAAAGAAAAACATTTTAAACCATATATGACAGAAAAACACAAACTTCTAAATATATATATATAGGAATGAGCAGATGCACATTAACATAAAAGTTTGCCTATTTCCTTTCTTTATTATTTTTACAACATTTTTCTAAATTGAAATAATTTGATAAGGACATCAGAAATCATGTTTACCTGCATATGTTAGTAATCAGAAAAGAATCCCTCATGTTGTTTTGAATTAAATATAAAATAAAAAAAGGTCTCTTAACAATAAAACAAGCAATTTTAATTGTAAATAAATTAATCTTAACTAATACATGTTTGATTCTTTTATTTAATCTTTGCATATTTGAGATTGCTTATTCGCATAATGAATTAATCACATAATAAATTTGAGAATAAGCTATTCTCAAAGATGTAAACAGATTCAAAGCAATTTTTCTGGCACTTAAGATTAAATGAACTTTACTACAAAAATTTAATTAATGAAATTTAAGTAATATTAATATAAATTAAAAGAGGTTAAATTGAAAATAAACTGCTTTTTCTAACACAAAATTAAGCTAAATGACATCACTTTACAGATAATGAATAATATTAATGAGTTTAATTTCAGTTTTTACTTTACTTTTTAAAGAAAAAAAAAAACTTTTTTTTTTTTTTTTTTTTGTTGCTATGAATTATTTTTAAATCTCTAGCAGTTAATAATTAAACTGCACTTAAACACTGCTAAAAAAAGATCTACAATGACAGTGTGATTTGAAGTATTTCAAATTTGTTATATGTATCCATAAGTGAATAGGAATATTTTTAAAATAATAACTATACATTAAATCTTTTTTAGGGGCTAAGAGGAGAAATTTTCAACTTTTTATAAAAGCAGACATGAACTATTCCAAATTATGTGAGTTATCTTTATTTTCATAAAATGAAGTGGCACACCTTGATGCATTTAAAGAAAATTATATCAGTATAGAATAACTTTCATGCAAAATTTTAATGTGTCAATAGCAATAAATAAATATGTATGAGGGTCAATTGAAGTTAATATCAGTTCCATAAATTTATGAGTGTGTGTAATGTTCAACAAAATCAAACACTTAATGATCGAATTTCCAGAACAAATCAAATAAATGCAAAATAATTAAAAACCTGTTATTTTATAAATCAACCTGCTGATTACAATAAAAAATCACCAAAACAGGTGTCTCAGTTGATTACATGGTTAAAATGCATGAGAAAATCAAATATGTACAAAATTTCTGAGAAATGACTGCAGTTAGAGATGAAAATTTTAACAGATTGGATTTCACAAAAACACTAAGCATTTATTACACTCACTGATGGAAGAAGGTTCACAACCCTTCTCTAACTTGCTTCTGATTGGCTAAAGCAGTGGTGCACAAACTTTTTTCGACTGCGACCCCTTTTGCAGAGAGAAAATTTTTGGCAACCCCAAGAGATAAACGTTCACAAATACGATGTATATTTTGCACATTTCTTTCGTTTCATCGAATAAAAACATCATTATATCTGACTCATATTAATTTTATTTATAATTTTAGGAAAATACTTTTTGTATAACACAAAAATCAGTAAATTGCCCTTTAATGAGATGTACATGGCTGCAAGTTTCTAATTACCTCATCCACGTTTGGATGTATGTTGCTAATTGCAATTCGCATATCATCTTCAGGGTTTAAACGCGAGCGGTATTTAGTTTTTTATTGAAAATCCAGTACTAAATCCAGTTTCACATAAATACGTTGAGGCAAATTGTATTAACACTCTGATGCCATTCTTGCATAAAATGGGATTGTTTTTCCATGGATAGCCAAAATGTTTGGCAAGGCTGAGTCTTAAATTGATTTCAAAGAGTATAATCACTAATTAGATTTATCAATTGCTCTTTCTCACTAATTTGAAGAGTTGAACTGTGTATGTGAAGAGTTGAACTGCGAATTCGGTGTGTAACAGTTAAAGGAAAATGGATCACGAATCCAACAAAATCGTTTTCAGGAAAATCCTCGAAAAATGTGATTAGAAATGATGTTTTTAAATGTAAATATATTTTATATTATTTTCCTCGATAAAATCGTTAAAGCAAGGGAACATGTCGATGTTGTTTTTATTCAGTTCAGTTTGCCAGAGACTAAGCTTATTCTTAAAAGCTTGAATTTTACTGGCTGAAGTTATGATAGTTGTATTTTCACCCTGCAAGCTCAAATTTAAGTCGTTAAGTTTTTCGAAAATATCAACTAAATAGCTCAGCTTCCCTAGCCAAACTTCATTGATATAATAACTTGCCAATCTATGTTTCTTTTCGATTAAAAACATGTACACTTCATTTCTCAAATCAAATATCCGTCGTAGTATTTTCGCACGTGAAAGCCATCTGAATTCGGTGTGTAACAGTAATCTCTCATACGTTGAGCCCATCTCATTGCAAAGTATTGAAAAGAGACGGCTGTTGTGGCTGTTGCATTTAATGTAGTTAATTGAACTAACAGCGTCTTGTAATATGTTGTGCAACTCTTCATCCATATCTTTTGCGACAAGAGCTTGCCGATGAATCACACAGTGATTAAATACCATATGAGGTGCCACCTTCTGAATTAAGCCTCCGAGCCCTTTATTCGAACCTGTTAATGCTGCCGCACAGGTTCAAACCGCAACACAGTTTGCCCAGGTAAGGGACTTTGTTTCAAAATATTAATTTATTACTTCGAATATTTTTTCTCCAGTTGTTTTTTCCTTCCAAACTTTTGCTACATAAAAACGTTTATGTTATATCTTCATTAAAAATAAACCTAACGTAAATAATTAGTTGTGAAATTTTAGTAATATCGGTAGTCTCGTCCAGTTGTAAAGCAAATGCAGATGAATTTTGTATGCGTTTTATGACTTCTGACTCGATATTTCGTGACATTTTGTAAATCCTCTGAGACACGGTATCTCTTGATAATGGTATAGTTTTTAGTTCATTTCTATATTTATCGCCATGCATAATTGATGTCATCTTAGTTGCTGCAGGAAGGATAAGGGATTCTCCAATTGTATGGGGTTTCATTGTTTTTCCTATTAGATAAGAAACTTCTAAAGAAGCTCTAATGCTTTCTGAGGCATTGTTGTAAATTTCTTTAAATGTGCACTTTGAACTTTCAGATTTTCAGCTCATCTTTGAAAAAAAAAATGGCATGTTTTTTTGAAGTTCTTTATGTTTTTCCAGGTGTCTTTTTAATTTAGCTGGTTTCATGCTCTCATTTGCTAATTTTTCGTTGCAAATGACACATATCGGGAGTTCTTCATCATCAACAACACAAAATGTAAAACCATACTTAATAAGTTCCTCATTGTATTTTCTTATTTTTTTAGATCGGGCATTTAGTTCAGTATTTTGCGACTCCTCATCAGTATTTGTTCGTTTGTTAGCTGAAGATGTACCTGGTGTACGTATTACCCATTTATCCCTTATGAAGATAGGGGTTAAATTATTTAAACTAAAACAAATAAATATAAAAATTTTATCATTTTTTTTTGATAAATTCAATAAAATTAACAGTCTTCTCTAATGATAGTACATACCTGATAAAAAAGAGTAGCAAAGCCCGATAAAATATTTTAAAAATCATAATTACACAACGTCACATGATAAAACTCGAAGGATCAACTAAAAAACAATTGCAGGCCCAACTGCTACATGCTACAACTTCATGCGAACACTTCACGGCGTTTACTCTGACTATCAGATACATCTGCGTGCCTCGCCATCTGATTGGTTAATCACGGAAGCGAATTTTCCTTTTCCCGTTGTCCTAAGGATTTTATTTTCTCTTGATATCAAGAATCAAGGAAATGTATTGTACCTTTTTATTCTTTTTCAAAACTTTTTGAATGTTGACTCCTCTCTCAAAATTTATTTCTGGCTCTTTTTAGACACGAAATTTAAATTAAAGAAACCCTTCTAAGAGTTTTTGCCTTTTTTCTCACGCGGAAGGCATTATCTGAAAAGCTTTTATTTTTATAATTAGGCTTCAAAATTTTCCCTTATTAGATGAACCCCTCTTTTGATGTAATTATTTTATCTCTGATGGTGTGGAGTTAAAGGCCTAGTCTAGCGCACTCCGTAAATCAACTTCCTTGATCCTCTTTCCCTGCGGTTAACGTCTAGTCAAATAGGTGCTTTTCAGTAAAAATGGCGAATTACCGCGAAGAGGGCGCTATCTACCGGAGTGAAAAACTTGCGTCTTCACACTTTACATACATTACAGTCAAAGAAAGAGCGGACAGCATGAAATTGAAATTAAACAGTGAGTGACGGTGCTTCACTCTTTATATATACACTGTATGGTATGCAGCATGCAGGCATAATGCATTTCATAAAAATTTGGCGACCCCAAAAAACTTCTGGCGACCCCTAGTTTGTGCACCACTGGGCTAAAGCACCTGAAATACAGTACTAATGGCAATGACTTTGGTTTCAGAGTAAAATATTGTGGCAGAAATCAGCCTTTTGAGCTCATTCATTGAAAGCCCGTTTCTACAAAAAGTTACTTACTGCAAATAACATTCTACAATCTAATAGCCGCTTTAAAGAGCTGAAATGCACCCAAAAAATATGACAGTGTGAAAGTTTAAAAATATTTAATGTGCTCTCTGCTAAGAGAGTAAATAATTGCAATCATATAATTAAGGTCAATGATTTAAATTTTACCATGATTTAATCAAATTATTCTTTTATCAGAATTATTTACAATAATCAGAACACTGCAGTAAAAAAAAATTAGCATTACTATAACAAAAACTGAAGATTTTCCAAACATATGTGTAAAAGTACTACAGTGAAAAGCAAATAAGGAGCTTCAATCGTGTGATTCATTATTTGTCGTATCAATAACCTACCATGTGGTAAAACCTACTCTTGCACTACAGAGTTGGAAATACATAGTTGTAATAAAAAAGTACATTAATCTGAAAAGCTTTTACACTTATGTACTTCTTTAGAACAACTTCCTTAGTGTACTACAGAAGTAAGCACTTAACAGAAGCAAGTGCATGACGATGCATGCACTTAAGAAGGAGCATTGAGCACTAAAATGCAGTCTGTTATAAGCTACATGGGGAGAAAATGACAAGAAGGACACGGAAGACATGAAAACTATTTTGCTTTAGTGTTTCAAAAATGAAAAGACATATGAAATTTATAATACTAATAGGAACTGCAATACTTTACAGAGTTCTCACAAAGTTCTAAATTCTGCTGACAGAATGTTAGAATAAAAAATGACAAAATGATAGAGTGTTTTCAAAATTTAGCTTGGTGTACAGCCAATTGTGAAAGCAATTAGAATTAAAAAGATATTCAAAACATGTATTTTTTATTCAGTCTTTGAAAGAAAATACTCGTTGTTGATACACATATTAAAAAGTTTGTTGTATGCACTGTATTCTAGTTTTTTAACCGCTTAACCTGCACATTTTTTTGAAAAAAATTGCAAAAAATCACATTTTTTTTATTTTATTATTAAATACAACAAAATGAAACAAATAAAAATATGTAGGTTTTAAGTTGAATTTTTAATTTTTTAAAGGTATTTAGTTTTAATACTAGTTTACTATGCCGAGTTATGTCGGGCAAACGAAAAAAAGTTAAATATTAGTCTTTGTATGATAGTTTTTGAAACAAGGGTCAACACAAAGTGGTACCTAACATTCTACACTGGTATCTAGTCTCTTTTCTTACTGGCTTACCGCTGGAATCTCTTTCACGGGAGCACAGAGTACGCTGTCTGGTTGGATTTGATTTCCCCCCCCCACCTCTTCATAATCATTATCTGAAAAATTATCGCTTTTGTAATCTTGCGTCATCGCCATTATTTTATTTTTTTCAACGCATGTATCCTTCTTTATACATTACTAATCCAAAAGCCGATGTATACTATACAATAGTGAAACACCTGATCAGTCTCTCCAAAAGAACCATGCAACCAACAAAATTTGGCAAACTGCCCATCAAAGCTGAATATTTCCTTTCATTTCTTCCAGGCTGAGTAAAACTGTGATAAAACAAATCGTACTAACAAACCGAGTTTTCATGGGATAATAATTAACTGCAATATATATGAACCCGAGATAACTCGGGATAATCAGGCAAGCAGTTAATAAGCTATAAGTTATAAGCTATAGATCTTCAGCTGCCTTGACTTTATTTCTTTGCAGCTTCTGTTTTAATGATTTTTAGTTTCAGTCATTAGGAAAGGTTGAGTAACCATGTGGTATTCAAGCTCATTTGGGAGACATCTTATTGGGAATTTCAGATGGCCTTCTTTAAAAATGCTTTGCCATTGACAAAAATCTGGCAATAACAAGCACATGAAAATTAATAAGGATAATATTTTGGATATTATTAAATGAAAATAAAGGAAGGAAAACTCAGTGATATTGAAAATTATATGTATGCTGATGACGACCATATAAGTTGTGTCAACAACATCGTGGAACATGCTTTGTATTTTCCTTAAGGAATCTAGAATTGGAAGGAGAAAGAGAAAAAATTATCAAGACTTTTTACATTGGAGTTTTGTCTTGAAATATTGTTAATGAAAAATGCTAAATTATTCCGACCATTAGTAAAATTTGATCCACTAGGATAAGTGCATTTTATATTCATTCATTCACTAAACTGTGATAACATTTCTATTTGTACTTAAATATTTAATTTTATTACTGAAAACTCAAATTGTGTCACTTTTAATGCACAAATATGATGACCTGAATTTTTCAAACAGTCAGCAATCAATGAATATGGTTGAATAAGATTAAAATCAGAATGATCATACTAAACATTATTAGTATTAGACCTGTTAAACAGATCTAAAAAAACTGAGTGATCAATCAAACTTAATTGTGACACAAGTTTACACAAAGAGCTCAAGATTTCACATGAAATGTCTTTTCCCAGCAAGGAAAAATGACGGGTGATATCCAATTCACTGGTAACAAGACTATAAACTGACTTTTCTCATCAGAACCATAAATTAGACATCAAATGACTACAGATGAGAAAGTGATATGCCAATTTAAAGTGAAGCACAAATTCGTGCCATGTACACTAGTTTGAAATAGACACAAATTATGACTCATCAAATACTAACATGATTTTTTTTTTTCATGTTTTAGGGAAAGATTCAGCATTCATTCAATTACTAAACACTGAGTTTTGCAATTATGTGCAGTGTGAATAATACCCAATTTTCTTTTAAAAGCCCTTCACAAAGATATAACTTTGCTTGGCCAGATAGTTCTCACATGCTTTGCTTAATTTTAATGGTAAAAGCATACAGTGAACTCACTTTAATTCTTCTGATATGATGACCCATAAAATGATCTCCATCTGTATTTCCTTAGCTTAATGTAATTTTTCTTAACATAATAACCAACTGATGGGCCTAAACTGCATTACAATGAGCTTCTTGAATACTTCAGTAGAATAATATATGAAAATGTACTGAGAGAGTTATTTTTCTTTTGAAGACAGTAAATGCAGTTAGTTATACTCAGCCAAGATACTTTCCATATCTTGAGTTAAAAATTGTTAGTAAAATTAGTTTAAAGTTTATATATTTTTGCCACGAGAACACTATATTCTTGATTTTAGGTTTTATTCAACAAATTTTGAAACATTTAAACAAAGCTAAGGTTTTTACATTAGGTGTAACATGTGATGCGAATATTAATTCCCAAGTACTATTTTGAGCAAAATTAAATATAAGCAGCATTTTGATCAGTTTTTTAAAGAGGAAAGCTATTCTAGTAAAAATTAATCTAAGCATATTAATGTAATTTTTTTTTTAACTTTGACATGATTAAATAATATTAGTATAATCCCCAGCAAAAAGTCATGTTTGTTCACTTAATATATGTGAAACATTTGACATAAAATGCAGTTTAGCACAGCTATTTATTGTATGTCTGCTGTAATGTGTAAATACATATTTACTTTCAAGACAATGTAGGGAAGGTTAATATAATGTGCTGCAGTGAATTTTTTTTTTTTTTTTTTATTTATTTAAACATAGTGAAGCACAACAGAGACTTGCTTTAAGAAAGGAATATCCCAGTGCTGAAATTTCTGAGGAAAAATGGCTCATAAATATGTTAAACATAAATAAAACTACAATGTAGCTAAACAATCATAGCTATCATATATATATATAGATAAATAGTAATTCGATGCCAGAAAAACTACTAGCATTCAGAAATCTTATCAATTTTCCCACTTGAAAGTTGTATAGTGGTTGCAATAACTGAGAATGATGGCAAAAATTATTCCTGTCTGGAAGCATTTCATTCCAATAGAATGAACTCAATGAGCAACAGAGAAACTATTAAAAACAATAAAAGAGCAATTTGCAAACTTTTACAATCGTCCATAAATGATTTATTATGTTAAGCCTCCGTTTTCAATTTAAGCATAACTAGTTTGATGATAAAGGAAGAATTGGAACCTCTTGGGACAAAACATCCCCACTCTTGCAGATATAAAATAGGTCTCCTCTCCCTCATCTGTGGTACACACTGGGCAACATTCTTAGCAATAAGACTGCTAAATGACTGATGGGTATTGGCTATTTCTAAGTGTTTGGGCATTTAAAACAAATCCAACTTGAAAGAGTTTTCTTAACATAATGTATATTATTCAAAGCAATTTTAATAAGTTTCTAGGGTTCATGATTCAGTCTACGAAAAAAAAATGTAAAACGAGTACAGATTAACTGATTTTGTGGGTAAATGAGGTGACACAGCACATTATTACCTACATTCTGTTAATTAACTTGAAGCCATGTGAAATCTTTTAAAACTTTCATTTTCTAATCTTCTGAATAAAGACCGACTGCATTCTAGCTTGATCATCATAAGAACAAACTAGTGACCTGGATTTAAATTTAAAAGATTTGTCGTCTTCAAAGGAAATAGAATTTTCAGTATGAAATTTTCAAACATACACTTTTGCAACTTGAAAAAAAATTCTTAAGAAATAAGTACTTTTAATATCAGAATTTTCAGAAAAACCTAGTAACTGGGAACTTCATAACTGGGATAAATTTGTGTATACTTTTTAAATTTAATTTTGGAATTTTAAAACTCAGATTTATTCAATAAGGATATGTTTTAAGCAGGAACTTCTTAACTGGGCTCCATTATACATATAGATATAAATTATTCATTAAGAAACTAAACTTTTATATTTCCAGAATATATATATATATATATATAAAGAAAGAAAAGAAAATATATACCTTGTCAGCAATTGATGTTAATGCTAATTCTTCCAAGTGTTTCTCATTCTATAAAAAATTATAGATTTCAATAAAATAATCAACACAAAACATTCCTAATAACACGACAAAAATTAAATCACAAATGACATATTTTGAACTTAAATTTTTTAATGTTTCTTAAAAATATTACAGAAATAACTCCAAATTAATGGAACTAAATCACTCTAATTGTAACTGTATCTGACGAAATGCAGTCTTCTTCAGTTTGCAAATGCATTTTGTAACAAAGAAACAAATAAATATATGTACATTATATGTATTACATGTACATAGCTGCCAAACTTGAAATATGGAAAACATTGATTATAAGGCACCCAAAACTGGGAGTTTATGGTAGATTTTCATACTGCATTATGATGCCATTTCTGAATACCTTCAAACTGACTTAAGTTCATTTTATAAAACATGATTCAGGTTATTGAATTATTTACAATATGGTTCTGACGTAAAATATATTAATATTTAATTATATATTTAAATTTTATATTATTAACTAATTTCATTGCATAATTTTTTAAACCTTTATCTCGAACAGTGAAGGAAAGCTTTTTTTTTTATCAAAATTCATTTAAATATGAAAAAATAAAATTAATATAGGTACCAGTGTGTGGAATAACTTAGGTTTGCACTATATACTTATGCAAGACAAAATTAAATACAAATATTAACAGATTAAGCACTAATTGAATCTTCATAAAGTTCTACTTTGAAGTTCTACAAATGTCAACAGTACCTTAAAACAATTCAGATCTAAGCAAATTTAAAAAGACAAATTGCACTGGAAATCAATATGTTGTTGGAATTTTAAGTTTTTCTTTCCCATAAATAATTAATTTTTAGCCAAAATGAAGACTAAGACTTAAAAACTGGGAAGAAAATTCAATGATTTACCGGGAGAAACGACAAAAAATAGAAAATCTACCAGTAATACCAGGAGAGTTAAGAACTGTGTTTGCAGAACCAGCCCTAGGCTAAATAACATACTTCATATGCCAACAAAAGTATTGTAAAATAAAACGAATAAAAGCTTATTTCTAAATTTACAAAACATAACAATACACATTAAAATTGAATGTTACTTCGCGCATACCATTCTCATAATAAATGAAATGTGTTATCAGAGGATATCATCAAGATAGGAATTGTTTGTAACAATTTTTTAATTAAAAAAAGAAAAAGTATACATTTTTTAAAGAACTGTATATATTACATAAAAAATATACTTTTCATTTTTTATTGTCCTGCATAATGTTCCATATGGTCCTGTGCATTTAAAAAAAAATGGTTGATGAGATTGGTGATGGCATTTAGGACAAATAAAAACATGTCATGTCATTAAGCTAATTGAAATATCCAGCTTATTACAAAGAGAGCTAAAATAAAAACACATAATGTCACTAAACAGAAAGCTGGATAGAATGATAATGCATATACATTGACACAATTGAGCTGCTACTGAGCATTGATAAAGAAGGACAGGAACTCTTTGCTGTCTATCACAGCACAAATTTCGATAAGAGTTTGACTCAATTGGAGCATTATTTCCAGAATACTGGCCTCAGGTAAGATTCATTACAATAAACGTGGTTGAAACAAGGCAGTTTCAACCAAAAATTGAATATTTTCTAATTATCCTAAAGGTGTATGTGCTCATTATAATAAGTCTAAAAAATTATCAGGTTCATTACAAAGTATTGGATAATTTTCCAATTAGTTCAACACGTGTAAAATGACAAACTTTTCTGCAATAAGCCAGATTTTCTAATTAGCCTGTTACATAAAAAGCTTTATCATCCTATACAAGGAAAAATACCTTTTTTTTTTTTTTTTTTTTTTTTTTTTTTTAAGAGGGGGAAGTAATTGATGAAGTTTAGCAACAGTGTCTTAATTTCAGCCAGTGAAGTTGCAGCACTAGCGGGTGCAATAAACAGAATCGGCTTCTCTGTCATAATTTTCATTATAAAAAAATCCATCTTTTTCTGTGGGACTATATCAAGAATACTGCCTGTAAAAAATAAAGATCATGTCTTTTCATAGCCTTCAAGAACATTTCAACGAGTATGTCTTTGAACATGTCACGGCCAATACTCTACAGTATATAAGGCATGAGTTTGTATCAGATGAAAATCCTACATACACATGTGGAGACATACTGATTAACTAGTAGAGTACAAAGCTCGAGATTCAAAATCACTGGGATGTCCATGATTCCAGATTTTAGACCATCACAAATCATAAAATTAGAAATATGAAACAGTTAATGGAATAGTAAAGCATTTATGACTTTAAAGGAATCAAAATTGACTAAAAAACCTTAATATTTATTTGTTTGTTTTAAATGTTTCTTTCAGTGTAAAGTTGTTTCATTTTTTGCACTAATATTTTATCTTTACACACAAACATTATTTCCTGTTCAGTTGCAAAGTTCAATTATGGAAGATCTTGTAATAAGCATGTCAAAATTACCCACTAAACTGTCAACTGAAATCTTTTGATTCCCAGCAAACTCTTAGACACTTTCTTCACCAAAAGTAATGATATAGAGTGCGGCAGCATTCATAGTAGGATATTAAAAGCACACCATAAGGCAGTAACTGTAATTTATTTATTATCTCTTATGTCAATTAATAGTTAAAGGTATGCCATTTACTAATGTCTAAGTCATTGTCCATTGCATGGATTACTTTTTGAATATGATGCCCCCTGGAAGAAATACCAAACACTGAAATACTCAAAACCACAAAGAGAATAACATTAAGTTAATGAGCGCTGAAAGAAATTCGAAAAGAAACTAAAAGAATAAGAAAATATTCTATTATCTATTTATGTTGCATTCTTTGAACATGGTAAATAACACTACTGGCAATTAACATAGTTAACATCAGAAAGGAAAGCAATTGGTACAATCACATTTAATTGACAAATCATTTCAGTGCAAAGACGAAATAATTACAATTTTCATATACAGAACGTACAGAAATCAGCATACCAAACATTCACATTTGCCAATAATAGCAGCAGTTGTTATGTGGCTTGACAGTGGGCTGAACAGATTTTTAAGGGTTATGGGTATTGAAGACCATGTGGGTTCAATTACATGTCAGAATGCATATGCTGTACTGGCTAGTGGGTGTTATTGTGCTAGTCACTCTGCAACTGTTGATCAGACATTCCCAGACAGTGAGAGATCTGCAGAATGCACTGGTCACAGCAGAAATTAAACATTTTGTTAATGAGGAAACATAGGACAGCATGGGCAACATGGTCAATGCTGTCCTACTAAGACAACACTATCCTATTAAAAGGTACTAATGGCCAACATATGGTACAGCCATGTGCATTACAATTTTAGCAATGCAATGGCGACTCATAAAATACTAGTTATACAAACCCGAGGTGAAGAGGATGTGTATCTGGTGACATACCATACTATCAATGCAGACGCAGGTCTAATATGACAACGAAGTATGCAAGTTTCCCATATACCCTTCCTTGGTACTTCCACACATGGTTATGGCCATTAAAGCCCTATTCACATGCAATGCTCCTTTGCACAGCTGCCAATAACAAGAGGAGAAAATGGGACAGGAAGAAGTTTTGTCTTTAGTGCACATTCAAAGAGTCCCCCTTCCTTCCTTTAACCATAAGCTACTGTTAACAATTAAGTCACAAATGTGAATTACACTGGTTGATTTCTAATGTTATTTATGCTTTGTTAATGTTGCTTATTATTGCTGCAGACCCTACTTTCCTAATGGTTTCTGAAATGTATTGCTTTACAGTTGCTGTTAAACCAAAAAAGTTCTTGCCGTTTTGGACAGTCAGAAAGAAAAAGTTGTAAAACAAATAATAACCACCACTAATCCTCAAAGTAATCATCATCTGCATCCAATGTCTTTTGCCAATGAGTGGCTAGCTGTGCGATACCATCGCTGTAAAACTCAGGAGTCCTGAGGTCTTTTTCGAGGTCTGGCCAGTTGTTGAAGGATTTCCCATGAAGATGGTTGTCCAGGAAATGGAAAAGGTGGTAGTCTGTTGGCGCAAGGTCTGGGGAGTATAGTGGATGGAGTAGTGTCTCCCAGCTCTGTCACTAGATAGTGACCCTGGCCTCTCAAGCCACATACGGCCTCGTATTGTCATTGAGGAGGGGTACACCTTTATGATTGACCATTCTTTATGCATCAGATGCACACATTCCAACTCCTGCGAGTACAGGCCTGCCGTGATGATTTGGCCCACTGGCAGGAGCGCATAGTGTAACACTTGGCGACTAGTCCACCAGATACTGAGCATGATCTTGCATGGGTGGAGAGAAGGTCTTGCAGTGTGAGACACATGGTCCAGTGGTGACAACCAATGTCTGGAATGCTTGGGTGTGTCATACTGGACCCACTTTTCATCGCTGGTGAGTACTCAATCAAATATGGATGCACTGCAGTGCCGAGTAAGCAATGACAAACAGGCAGCGACGTGCTGTTGCTTGTTTGCATCGGACAGTGAATGGGGTATCCACTTGCTCAGCTTGCATGCCTTTCCTATGCGGCACAAATGGACAGATATCTGGAAGTGTGCAGCAATCTTACCACAAGTTTGGCTACTGTCACTCTTTATAGCAGCTCTCAGGGCGTCATCGTCCAGCACTTGCGTCCAACCGCTGTGTGGTGCATCACTAAGAGACATATCCCGAGCTGAACTTCTGGAAGCATTGTCTAATGGTTCGTTTGTTAACAGTATCACCCCCAAAGACCTGGCAAATTCGGCGACTTTATTATGCTGCTAAGATGCCCACTTTAAAATCATACAGCAAACAACTCCAAACAAGCACCTTTGAAGCATCCATTTCATTCATTTGCTGTGTGTTAGTTATGTTTGAAGTATTGATGCAACGCGCTTTTATACTGTTGGTAATGTCCAGACTTCCAACCTAACCACTTCATCACCACGTTTAGCGACTATTTTTATGTTGGGGTTCACTCTTCCAAGGTAATATCAGAAATGCCAAGAAA